TAATTAAATAAATGTTACTACACCCAAAAATCATTTTTTTCAGTGCAGGTCAGGTGTTTCACAAGCTGTAACAAATAAACATTTTTCATCTGGACACACACACATTGTGTCCTCTACTCTTCTCTCTCTATTAGGAAGAGAGCAGCACTTTCCTCTGTGAACCTCAATCACTCACCACACAGGCAGCATAAAAATGGCCTCCTCCACTACCTCAGACACACTCACACTCACGCACACAGCAGTCAAAGGCATTTAGATTCACACTGATTAATACACATTTCAGTCCTTGTCCTCTCAGATGGCATTAGTCAGATGATACCACACTTATCAAACCGAGTGCAAATGTTCCGTCTCGAAACGGCCGAAGCACTATAATTACTTGTGAAAGCACAGCCTTCGTACGGCCGTGCCTCACATTGACTCGTGCACACCGCTCTGACAGCGAGCGTACCCACACAGTTTGTCCTCGGCGTGCTACGCTCTTCAGGAAGCGGTAACCACAGCAACCAGCAAGCTAAGGGAGCACCGTCGAGGTTATTAAATCAGATGGAACAGAAGGACGCAACAGAATATGAGCAGCTAGCAAGACGCAGAACAAGATAAACACCACGACCGCTGCAACTGTGGCGTTCGCTCCGTCAGGGAACATAAAAATGAGAAACGGCTGAAATAACCACGGTGTCAATAAAGGAAACTGCCTGAAAGTGGTTATAATGAGACAGATTTTTTAAATAAGTGATGAGTTCTTATTTTGACACACTTCCAAAAGTAGTAGCCATTAAACACAACTTTGCTGTGTTTGCAAATCAAATTAGGTTATAATTTAAATTTTGCTGTTTTTTCCACCCCCAATAATGTTCCCCTTGGCAGTGATTTTTAAGTAAAATGGAAGACTGAAGGCCCCCAAAGATTTGCATCCTCTTTAAGAACAACAAAAGACCATTAACCTGAAAGAATTGAAGCAATGTTGTTAAAAAAAAGAGTGGGTCAAAATTTCTCAACAACAATGTGAGGGACAAATACAATTATTTAACGAGTGTTTTGTTATTTCTGCTACAGGTGGTTCTACACTAAATAAATCATGGGATGAACACTTTCTACATGGTTGTCCTATTTCCATTTAGCTTAGGAAGTGATGACAATTAAATATGTTGTGTGTCTTTGTACACTTTAGGGTTGCTTGGAATAACTTTTGAACCTGGCAGAAATCGGATCATTTTATTTTGTTCTGTTACGTAAAATCTTCATGAAAAATCATGCACTTTTTTTTCAAATAACTGTGGGTCATATTAATCGCCCTATAAGATTCATTACATTTTTTTCAAATGTCTGGCTTTGACTGAGGTTATTATTGTTTTCAGGCAATATTTCAACCTAAATTCTTGTAGATTTTTTTTTATCCTCAAACATATCTGATTCATCACATACAGCAACAAAGTGAAGAGATTGGTTGAAACTAACTCGACTCCCTTTCCTCCTCTCTTCCACTCTTTGTTGGTTTGGTATCAACTAGAGCTGCATGATATATGTATGTGTCATTGCAAGGTATGAGTGCGCACAGTCCCATTGTAGGTCCCATGTGTTATCTATTAAACCATACCAGGGTATCCACCATCGTATTATAGACCTTGTGGCCTGCAAATCCTTATTTGCTCTGCCAAGGTGAGCTTTGTTCACGTAGAGCCAGTGCACCAGCACAGATTGTAAGTGGCTAGGATGTAGCATTAGCATCTTAGCGCTCCACTACACAGAACTGTCACAATACAGTAGATGAGAAATTTTCTTAGGGTCCCAAGCTGAAGGGGGTCCCTGAGAATCCCCTATGGTGTTTCCTAAAGTTGGGGTCGGGACCCCACATCAAGATGGGATCCTGAAAAGATTTTTTGAATTAATTACATTTTTGTCTTAGTTGTTACAAATGATTGAGGTTAGTATATTTGAAATGGATAAATGTAGTATAAAAATATTGTTACTATGCCCATGTTTAGTTGACCTGATACAAATGTTTATCATCCAAAAACAGCTGGGGGCACAGGTCTCTGCCACTGTTATTTTGTGTGTCAAAAGCTGAAAAGTTTGGGAACCACTGCCCTAGAATCAATGCATATTTTGCACTAAACGTTGCACATTTGGTTAAAAAAATTTTATGCCTCTGATAAATCTTTTGGTTGGAATGTATATGAAGGTGCATACATTAGTGATGGTAGTGTAGGTGAATTGTCCAAGTGACTGATAATATCACACACATATTAACAAATTTTAAATTCTACTTTTTCCAATTCTGTCATTCTAATCATATATCTAACCCGCATAATGTTTCATATTTGTTAAAATATTTTTTATTAAAAAAATATAAAAATATTCACAAAAGCTGGTATGTTTCAAGGCATGAAGAGCACATCTGCACATTGTCGCATTTGAAAACAAGAACAACAACTCAGTATTGTCATCCAAAAGAACATTAGCTGCGGCGATCATTAGCAAGCCAAGCATTCATTACTCGCGGCCCCGTCGATAGTTCTCCGTCTCGGGCCCAGTGAGACCTTTAACAATAATGTTTCGCCTTGTAAGTCATGTTTACTGCTGGAAGAACACTTTGCTTGATCGGGCTTCAGACCCGGGGCTGTGTCATTAGACTTGTTAGCCTCGATGCTTTACACAATCTCCACAGATGTCTACCTGCCTCACTTCCCTCTATTTAATTCTGTCAGACACACTGACTCCATTCTCTCCTTCTGTCTCTGGATCAGTCCTTCCCCCCTTTTTCTCTTTCTACCTCTCTCTCTCTCTCTCTCTCTCTCTCTCTCTCTCTCAGCGAACTGCATTGATCTGCTGCACTCTATGAATGCATTAGCACAGATTAGACTGGATTAAGTATGGAATAAAAGGAGGAAAAATTAAATTCATCCCACATTGAATTGTTTCTCTCCACCCCATCCTCATTCCTCTGAGGTTCCCAATTACAGAGCTCACATGGGACCGGCTTGTTCCACCTCATCCACACAACCTGCCCATCTGAAGGTGCTCAATGTGCACAGCTTCAGGGGCGAGGAGTGGGGAGGCATTTGTAGAAACTTGCTGGCGCATTCGCGGCAACACACAGACTCGACACAAAGACTCACAACCCCCCAGGCTTGCCTACTCATGTACAGCACCAGCGTTATCTCTCTCCTCTGACTCGTTCTATTTGGAGCATCATAGCGAGATGAGAGGGGTGATGCAAACAACTGCAACAAATTGAGTCGAGTGACAAACAGTGGTAAAAAAGGGGGAGCATGAAATCCAAATGCATAGTGAAGGAGAGACAAAAAAAATGGAGCTTCCCTCCATAATAATTATCTATTTTCCAGAAGACAACATCTGGAAACGCCATTTAAAACCTGGGTGAGGTTGCCGAAAGCATCTGGAATCAGAACGGCAGCGAGACGGAGGAAAAAATAGAAACAGTGCAAAAAAAAAAACGTTCACCTCAAGTATATGCTCTACAAACCCAATGACTTCAATAAAAGTGATTGATGCTTGAGCCCATTATTTACGCAAATGGTGCTTTTAATTGATGAATAAATAAACACACTGCCTGAAATAGCAGCAAGGCTGAACACACTGAACAGCGCACTCGAGAAGCGTTTCCATCACGCGCAGAAGACGACTAATTTGTTTCACGAGGGCGCAAGTCCTTTGCATAAACGCTCATAACCTTCATGCCCGTTGTTTCAGCCCCTCACACTGAATACTGTCCACCGTGTCGGTTACCCACTAACAAGAAAAGTCACACAAGGGTTTAAGTAATCGCATCAGCGAGCACACACA